GGCATCTCCCGTCGGAGACTGAGAGTTGGAAGACATCTGCCCATGGGTGCACCCAAGAAACCTAAGATTTGCTTTGTTCCACGGATATTTACCAAGCATTGGCTGCCCCCCACACTGGTCACTTACTCGGGCGATGGGGACACCAAGCAGCTTTCCTGGGGTATATATTGTCATACCATCGATTTAAAGTAAAAAAAAAAAAAACCCATGACATAATTCCAACTGGTTTGGTGGTTAAAAGACATTGTTGGGTGCCTGAGGACAGGGGTGGGGCGGCTCCTTTAGATGAAAGTGGGCAGGAGGGTTCTCCATCAGGTGATGTCTGAGCCGACCCCACCTGGAGCAGAGAGGGAAGCCGTCTGCCAGCTCAGCAGAGCCCAGGGGAAGGAGGGAAGTGGGTCTGTGTGGGGTGGAAAGAGGAGCCCCCCGGGGCAGAGGCGGAGCACACAAGGGCCCTCTTCCTGTAAGTCTCACCAACATGGAGGTCCAGCGAGGAACCCTGTCTCTTCAGTATTTTAGTATTTTCTGTGGCTACCTGGGGACTATAAAATGTAGGAGCCAGAAGGATTTTACAGGTGATTCATTTTAAGCAGAACTGGCCACCCAGAAAGGCCAGTGGATTGTGGAAAGCGTGGGGATGGTAACGTATTAAGGCGCTGGAGCTGACAGTGTCTAACAGCAAGGAGCTCTTAGGTTTGTAAATCCCTTCCATACCTGGTACCCCAGAGAAGCCCATCACCATCCCATGAGGCCTGTGGTGCTCATTTTATGGATGGAAAAACTGAGTGTCAGTGGTATGCCCACGTTCAGATGGTTACTAAGGGGCAATGCTGGAATTGGGGCCCAGGTGCCTCAACTCCATGTTCCCTTCCATTTCCAGGACCCAAGTCTCCTGAGCCTCAACCCAGAGTGGAGGAACTTGACACTGGAAATAAGAACAGTAGGGTTCCAGTCCCCACCCTGTGCCTCCAGGGCTCTGTGCCCTTGGCCAGTTCCTTTCCCTCTCTGAACCTCTAAGTCATTTGTACAAGACTAATCACGGTGGCAGCTTTATTAAATGCTTGAAGGATAAATTGAGACCATGATCACAGACAAGCTTTAGAGTTTAATGGTTAAGAGTAAAGTCAGAGAGACACAACTTCCAATCTTAGCTCTCCCCTTAACCTTCTGGATAACTTTGGGCAAATGATTTGAGTCTGATTTCTTCAGAAGTAAAACAGAAAGGTTAAGTGGAGACCTGTTGTGATAATCATCGTTGATATGCCATTAAACTTTCCTGGTACATAACTAAAAACTCTAAAAAATAATATTATCTTCGTCACCATCACCTTAACCACCACCATCACCTTCACCATCACCACCATCAACACCACCACCACCACCACCATCAGCACCATGACCACCATGACCA